GTGCCACTGCACTCCAGCCTGGGTGAAAGAGCGAGACACCATCTCAAAAAAAAAAAAAAAAAAAAAAAAATAAAAGCAAGCCTGGATGCAATGGCTCAGGCCTGTAATTCCAACAGTTTGGGAGGCCAAGGAGGGAGGATTGCTTGAGCTCAAGAGTATGTGACCAGTCTAGGCAACAAAGCAAGACTCCATCGCTACAAAAAAAATAAAAATAAAATAAAATAAATTTGCCAGACCTGGTAGCACACACCTATAGTCCCAGCTACTTGGGAGGCTGAGGTAGCAGAATGGCTTGGGCCCCGGAAGTCGAGGCTTCAGTGAGCTCTGATCCACCACTGCACTCTAGCTTGGAAGACAGATCAAGATCTGTCTTTGAGATGTTGTCTCACTCTGTCGCCAGGCTGGAGTATGGTGGCACAATCTCGGATCTCGGCACACTGCAACCTCCGACTCCCTGGTTCGAGCGATTCTCCTGCCTCAGCCTCCCGAGTAGTTGGGATTTATGGCACGCACCACCATGCCAATTTTTATGTTTTTAGTAGAGATGGGGTTTCACCATGTTGGCCAGGCTGGTCTTGATCTCCTGACCTCGTGATCCGCCTGCCTTGGCCTCCCAATGTGCTGGGATTACACCGCACCCAGCTACCAAGCAAACATTTGATAAGGAGATTAGTATGGATAGAAAGAAGCCAGATGGCCAGGAGTAGCGGCTCACACCTTAAGTACTTTGGGAAGCTGAGGCGGGTGGATCACTTGAGCTCAGGAGTTCAAGACCAGCCTGGGCAACATGGTAAAACTTTGTCTCTACAAAAAACACAAAAATTAACCAGGTGTGGTGGCAAGTGCCTGTAGTTCCAGCTACTCATGAGGCTGAAGTGGGAGGACTGCTTGAGCTCAGGAGGTGAGGGCTGCAGTGAGCCATGATTGTGCCACTGCACTCCAGCCTGGCCAAGAGAGTAAAACACTGTCTCAAAAAAAAAAAAAAAAAAAAAATTGGTCGGGTGTGGTGCCTCATGTCTGTAATCCCAGCACTTTGGGAAGTCGAGGCAGGCAGACCACTTGAGGTCAGGAGTTTTGCGACCAACCTGGCCAACACGGTGAAATGTCATCTCTGTTCAAAATACAAAAATGAGCCAGGCATGGTGGTGTGTGCCTGTAGTCCCACCTATTCAGGAGGCCGAGGCACAAGAATTGTTTGAACCCAGGAGCCGGAGGTTGCAGTAAGCCGAGATTGCACCACTGCACTCCAGCCTGGGTGACAAAGTGAGACTTCATCTCAAAAAAAAAAGGGGCAGTGAAATAGAATCTTTGGCAAAAGAGGGTGCATGGCTGCTTTTGACTGCTTATACTAAAATCCAAGAAGATGAATTAAAGATGAGATTTATCATCAAAGGGGAAGTAGAATTTAAATATCTGGAAAATATATTTCCAAATATTCCAGCCTGGCCATCTTGTAAAGAATGTAAAAGAGGCCGGGTGCAGTGGCTCACGCCTGTAATCCTAGCACTTTGGGAGGCCGAGACGGGTAGATCACGAGGTCAGGAGATCGAGACCATCCTGGCTAACACGGTGAAACTCTGTTTCTACTAAAAATACAAAAAAATTAGCCAGGCATGGTGGCGGGCGCCTGTAGTCCCAGCTACTCGGGAGGGTGAGGCAGGAGAATGGCGTGAACCTGGGAGGCGGAGCTGAGATCGTGCCACTGCACTCCAGCCTGGGTGAAAGAGCGAGACACCATCTCAAAAAAAAAAAAAAAAAAAAAAAAATAAAAGCAAGCCTGGATGCAATGGCTCAGGCCTGTAATTCCAACAGTTTGGGAGGCCAAGGAGGGAGGATTGCTTGAGCTCAAGAGTATGTGACCAGTCTAGGCAACAAAGCAAGACTCCATCGCTACAAAAAAAATAAAAATAAAATAAAATAAATTTGCCAGACCTGGTAGCACACACCTATAGTCCCAGCTACTTGGGAGGCTGAGGTAGCAGAATGGCTTGGGCCCCGGAAGTCGAGGCTTCAGTGAGCTCTGATCCACCACTGCACTCTAGCTTGGAAGACAGATCAAGATCTGTCTTTGAGATGTTGTCTCACTCTGTCGCCAGGCTGGAGTATGGTGGCACAATCTCGGATCTCGGCACACTGCAACCTCCGACTCCCTGGTTCGAGCGATTCTCCTGCCTCAGCCTCCCGAGTAGTTGGGATTTATGGCACGCACCACCATGCCAATTTTTATGTTTTTAGTAGAGATGGGGTTTCACCATGTTGGCCAGGCTGGTCTTGATCTCCTGACCTCGTGATCCGCCTGCCTTGGCCTCCCAATGTGCTGGGATTACACCGCACCCAGCTACCAAGCAAACATTTGATAAGGAGATTAGTATGGATAGAAAGAAGCCAGATGGCCAGGAGTAGCGGCTCACACCTTAAGTACTTTGGGAAGCTGAGGCGGGTGGATCACTTGAGCTCAGGAGTTCAAGACCAGCCTGGGCAACATGGTAAAACTTTGTCTCTACAAAAAACACAAAAATTAACCAGGTGTGGTGGCAAGTGCCTGTAGTTCCAGCTACTCATGAGGCTGAAGTGGGAGGACTGCTTGAGCTCAGGAGGTGAGGCTGCAATGAGTCATGATCACACCACTGCACTCCAGCCTGGGTGACGGGGTGAGAACTTGTCTCAAAAAATAAATAAATAAAAAAATAAATAAATAAATAAATAAATAAAAGAACCCGATGCTATTCATCAAGACAGTAAAGCAATTACCCCAAAGGCATTTCTGAGATCTTTGTGGCTGCCCATCTCATTATAAGCCCAGAATGCCAGGGTCTTGGGGGCAGAACAATTTCAAGGTTCCACTTCCCATATTCCAGAGTGCTCCTTACCCACTCCAGCTGTAGCTCAAGCAGGCCCAACTATGGCTCGGGCCACCCCTCTAGAAGGCACAGGCAACAAACCACAGTGGTGTCCGTGCAGTGCCATCTCCACAGTGCACAGAGTGAATGAGCTGTGGGGGCACACTTACCTCTACCCAGACTTCAAAGGATGCCCCAAAGAATGCCAGGGCCCAAGCAGAGAACTGTCACGGGCAGGGCCACCAGAGAGCCCTCACTAGGGCAAAGCCCAGTGGAGTCGTGGGGGCAGGGCCACCCCAAGACCCAAGACTGGTAGAACCACTAGCATGCAACTCCAGCCTGAGAGATACAGGCATGAGACTCCAATGACTGAGAGCTGCTGCATGGGCTGCTCCCAGCAAAGCTGTGGGAGTGGGGCCATCCAGCGCTTTGCAGGACCAACCCTGCCCTAGTTTTTGTGGAAGGCGGGGCTTTGAGTCAAAAATTATTCTTAAGCCTTAAGATTTAATGTTGTTTGTCTGGTTGGGTTTTTCTGTCACTCCTTTCTTCCTACTTCTCCCTTTTGGTCTTGAACTCCTGGCCTCAAGCAACCCACCCACCTTGGCCACCCAAAACACTGGGACTACAAGTGTGAACCACCACACTGGGCCTCAATTCTCCTTTCTGGAATGGGAATGTCTATCCAATGTCTGTCCCACCATTGCACTTTGGAAGCATACAACCTGTTTGATTTCACAGGCTCACAGCCCGAGAGAAATGTGCCTCAGAGTGAATCCCAGAGCCGAAGTCTTAGCTATATTTGATTTAGATGATATTTAGATGGGACTCTGGACTTCAGACTTTTGAGGTGATGCTAAAACTAAGTTAAGACTTACCCGGAGTTAACATTTTGGGGGCTATTAGGATAGAATGAATGTATTTTGCATGTAAGGTGAACATGAATTTTGAGGGGCGGGGGCAAAATGCTATGGTCGGAATTTTTGTGTCCCTCCAAATTCATGTTGGAATCCACTGTGGTGGTATTAAGAGGTAGGGCTTTTAGGAGGTGACTAGTTTGTTAGGACTCTGCTCTACGAAGGGTGCCAATGCCCTTGTTGGAGAGGCTTGAGGGAGTCTTCCACCTTTCTCCACCATATGAGGATGCAGCAAGAAGGTACCATCTGCGAGGAACAGGCCCTCAATGGACACCAAATCTGCTGGCGCCTTTATCTTTTTTTTTTTTTGAGATGGAGTTTCGCTCCTGTTGCCCAGGCCGGAGTGCAATGGCGTGATCTCGGCTCACCGCAACCTCCATCTCCCGGGTTCAAGTGATTCTCCTGCCTCAGCCTCCTGAGAAGCTGGGACTACAGGCATGTGCCACCACGCTCGGCTAATTTTGTATTTTTAGTAGAGATGGGGTTTCTCCATGTTGATCAGGCTGGCCTCGAACTCCTGACCTCAGGTGATCCACCTGCCTCGGCCTCCCAAAGTGCTGGAATTACAGGCATGAGCTGCCGTGCCCAGCCCATCACAAGGTCAGTGCTGGCGCCTTTGTCTTGACCTTCACAGCCTCTAGAACTGAGCAATAAATTTCTATTGTTTATATTACCCAGTCTAAGCTATTTCGTCATAGCAGCCTGAACTAAGACAAATAGGTATACAATCTTGCATTCTGCCTCGTTCATATATATTCCATAGATTTTTCTCTTGTTTCCAGATAATCTTGATTATTTCAAAGGGCTGCATAATTAGCTGTACTGACACAATAGAATTTACCAAGCCCTACCCTCTGGCAAACCATTTAAACCTTTCTGATATTTTGCATTAAAAACAACATCACAGTCAATAACTTTGTACATAAAAAAGCTTCTTGCTTTTATGTTCAACTATACTCTAGGATATACTGCTGAATGAATGAATGGACTTCCCTGAAGCATCGTAACTGTCTTGATAGTCCAAACATTTTCACAGGTCTTGCAAAGAAGGACAGACTGCTTCTAAAGGGCCCTGCAATTTACAAGGTAATCAGAAGTGCATTCGCTACTATCCGGCCAAGAAAGGTGTTAATCAGTCTTTGACAACTTAAAAAAAAATGAAGAATGAGGGAAAAAACCACACACACAACAGTTTAGTCAGCCTTAAAATCAGAGGAAAGTGGGAAAGAGGCAGCAGCACACTTACTGGGGATCTCCAGGCTGGGGTGGATGGCAGCCACACTTCTGACCATGGGTGGGGAATGCCGTCCATCCACCAAGTCCGACTCGGCATCCTGCGCCTCTCCATGAATCACTGCAATTCCCAGGCGCAGGCGCTCAGCAAAAGACTGTGCCCTGAGGGAAAACACCAGACACAAACTCAAAACTCATGCAGCCCTGGGTTCTGCCCCTAATGCTTAGGGGACAAAACATTAACAGAACATAAGTAGAATGTTGTCTCCCAAAGGAATAAAGAGAGAATAAAACAGCCTCACACTAGGACCCAGGACTAACTGTAGAGACCCCACACGCCAAACACTTCCCTTGACGGCAGCACCAAAGAAGGGCAGCGGCCTGGCCTGGTCTAACAGACCAGGCTTCTCAAGCCACCGGCCGGGAAAGCCTGACTGAGTGAAGGAAACTGCGCTCAGCTCTGTCTCACCTGAAGCTGCTAATTCTAGCTGCTTCTGCCTAACTACCAGTGAGAACCAACTACATGGGGCAAAGGGCATAAAATGCTCACCAAAGTATTAAGCACAAATTTCTTAATAGTTTTAGGGGGGTGAAATTGAGATACAAGAAACTGTGCGTATCTAAAGTATATAATTTCATGAGCTCTGAAGGCTATATGTGCCCATATAAGCATCAGCACAATCAAGACAAGGAACGTTATCACCACAAGCATCTCCTTATGCTCCTTAGTGATTTTTCCTTCCGGCCCCAGGCAACGGCTGATCTGCTTTCTGTCACCACAGTTTCACCTATCTAGAATTTCATGTAAATGAAATCATAAAGTTGCTTTTGTCTTTTTTTTTTTTTTTAAAGATGGAGTATTGCTCTTTTGCCCAGACTGGAGTGCGGTAGCGGGATTTCTCAGCTCACTGCAACCTCTGCCTCCCGGGTTCAAGTGATTCTCTGGCCTCAGCTTCTCAAATAGCTGGAACTACAGTCATGCACCACCACATCTGGCTAATTTTTGTATTTTTAGTAGAGATGGGGTTTTACCATGTTGGCCAGACTGGTCTCGAACTCCTGACCTCAAGTGATCCTCCCACCTCGACCTCCCCAAGTGCTGGGATTACAGGTATGAGCTACCTGGCCATTTGTCTTATTTTACGCAGCATGTTTTGGAGATTCATCCATGGAATAACATCAATAGTTCATTCTCTTTCATTGCTGAGTAATATTCTACTGTGTGAATAGATCACAGTGTATCCATTTATGTATTGCTGAGTTTTCTGGTTGTTTCTAGTTTTTGGTTGTCACAAAGCTGCTGTGAACATTCATACACAGATACTCTGTATGGGCACATGTTTTCTTTCTTTCTTTCTTTTTTTTTTTTGAGACAGAGTCTAACTCTGTTGCCCAGGCTGGAGTGCAGTGGCGTGAACCTCCACCTCCCAGGTTCAAGCGATTCTCCTGCCTCAGCCTCCCAAGTAGCTGGGATTACAGTCATGTGCCACCACGCCTGGCTAATTTTCATATTTTTTGTAGAGATGGGGTTTTGTCATGTTGGCTAAGCTGGTCTTCAACTCCTGACCTCAGGTGATCTGCCCACCTCGGCCTCCCAAAGTGTTGGAATTACGCTCCCAGCCACATGCTTTCTTATCTCCTGATAAATTCCTAAGAGTGGAATGGCTGGATCATATAGTAGGTGTATATTTAATTCTTTATAAAAAGGCCACACAGGCTGGGTGCGGTGGCTCACAAGGTCAGGAGATTGAGACCATCCTGGCTAACACAGTGAAACCCCGTCTCTACTAAAAAAATACAAAAAAAATTAGCCAGGCGTGGTGGTGGGCACCTGCAATTCCAGCTACTCAGGAGGCTGAGGCAGGAGAATGGCGTGAACCCAGGAGGCAGAGCTTGCAGTGAGTGGAGATAGTGCTACTGCACTCCAGCCTGGGTGACAGAGCAAGACTCCATCTCAAAAAAAAAAAAAAGGCCACACTGTTTTCCAAAGTGGTTATACCATATTACAGGCCCATGAGCAGAGCATCAGAGATCCAGTCCCTCCACATCTTCAACAACACTTGGTACAGTAGTACGGTAATTTGTGTCTTGTTTTCTCCTAACCAGTCTGGATAAAGGTTTATCAATTTTATTGATTGTCTCAAAGAGTCAGTTTTTTAGCTTTTTTCTGGTTTTTGTTTTCTATTTCATTGATTCATGCTTTAATCTTTTTCTTTTTTGACTGTTGAATTCAGTTCTTTATATAACATCCCTTGTAAAAATGAAACAGAATAAAAACACACCGAAAGGAGGGGCAGGGTAAAATCTGAAAAGGAAAGGAAAGGGAGGAAAAGGAAATAAAATAAGATGATTTATTGCTTCTCCGTCAGTATCCTCCTTGGTCTTCTCCTCCACTGAAAGAGCTTTTAGCTCTTCTGCCACTTTTTCGGCATGATCATTTTTGCCTGATCCTTTCTTTTCTCTCTGATCTTTTTCTTGTATTCTTCAAACTTTGTTTTGAATTTCTGTGCATTCTCAACATTCAGGAAGCGGATGGCCAGCAGCTCTGGCTTGGGGCACTTGTTGGCAAAGCTGGCGTGGGTGTTCCAGACCCAGGCATGGTCACTACCCACACTGAGCTTCAGCTCCATCATCAGCGTGAAGTAGTGGTTAGCACAGATCTTCACGGTCTTGTCCCTCTGCATGAGGAGGTGGATGGTCCCTTTCTCCTTGTGCTTCAGGAGCTTGATGTCGCCGATGCCTCACTCCTTCCATTTTGGGAGATCCTTCTCTGAGGCAAATCAGAACAGTTTCATTCACATTTTTAAAAGTTCTTCTTCATCTTCTCCCAGCATTTTTTTTTTTTTTTTTGCTCTGTCGCCCAGGCTGGAGTGCAGTGGCCGGATCTCAGCTCACTGCAAGCTTCGCCTCCCGGGTTTACGCCATTCTCCTGCCTCAGCCTCCTGAGTAGCTGGGACTACAGACGCCCGCCACCTCGCCCGGCTAGTTTTTGTTTTTTTTTTTTTAGTAGAGACGGGGTTTCACCGTGTTAGCCAGGATGGTCTCAATCTCCTGACCTCATGATCTGCCCGTCTCGGCCTCCCAAAGTGCTGGGATTACAGGCTTGAGCCACCGCGCCTGGCCCCCCCAGCATTTTAATTTCTTGCTCAGGGAGAGAACTATTGGCTCAAACTGAGGGTCATGGTTGGACTCATCTGCATTCTCAGTGGAAGTATCATGGTCCTCATGAGTGTCCTTGGCGCAATGCAAAAGCAGCAGCTCGGCGGAGTGGGTTGTCGCTGGCTTCAAGGCCTCCCATCCACTGGCTCTGTGGCCTCTTGCAGGAGCTTCTTCCCTCTGCAGCTGGCTTTTTTTGTTTTGTTTTGTTTTGTTTTTGAGATGCAGTCTTGCTCTGTCACCCAGGCTGGAGAGCAGTGGCGTGATCTTGGCTCGCTGCAGCCTCCGCCTCCGGATCAAGTGATTTCTCCAGTCTCAGCCTCCCGTGTGTGCCACCATGCCCGGCTAATTTTGTATTTTTAGTAGAGACGGGGTTTCATCTCATGTTGGCCAGGCTGGTCTCGAACTCCTGACCTCAGGTAATCCGCCGGCCTTGGTCTCCCAAAGTGCTGGGATTACAGGCGTAAGCCACTGTGCTGTGTCTTCATTTTCATTTGATTCTAAATACTTTGTAATTTCACTTTTGACTTCTTCTTTGACCTATGGGTTATCTAAAAGTATGTTATTTAGTTACTAAATATTCAGGACATTTCCAAAGACACTTCTGTTATTAGAATTATTCTTAATTCCAGTGTGGTCAGAGAATATATTTTGTATGGCTTGCATAATTTTAAATTTGGGGCTTATTTTATGGCTCACAAGAATATGATCTTTGTAAGTGTTTACACTAAAAAAGAACATACATTCTGCTCTCCCTGAATGGTGTGCTATGACTGTCAGTCAGATCCAGCAAGTTGACAGGGTTGTTCAAGTCTCCCGCATCCTTAATGATTTTCAGTCTTCTTATTCTATCAATTACTAAGAGAAGAATAATGGAATCACTGACTATCATTACGGATATATCTATTTCTCCCTGCAGTTATCAGTTTTTGCTTCATATGCTTTGAAGTGCTGTCATTTAGTTTATAAATGTTTAGAACTGTTTTGTCCTCTTGAAGAACTGACCCCTTTATCATAAGGAAAAGACCTTCAACTGTGGCAAAATTATTTTCTCTGATTTGTCTGATATTAATACAGCCACTCCAGCTTTTTTTTTTTTTTTTTTAAAGAACTAATGTTGTCACAGTATATTATTTTTCCATCTTTTTACTTTTAACCTATTCCCTCCTCCTTGCCACCTTATACTTTATCTCATTAGGTCCCTGGCCACAGAGCATCCCTCACTGGACCTGATTCCTGGGGGCCATGCTGAGTCTTACTCTTTCTTCCATCCTCAACACCTAATGCATGGTAAATGTTCAAGTGTTTAAGAATCCAACAAGTTCTCACAGTCTTGGCTTACCAGCACCAAAAATTCAAAGCAAGTTCTTATCTAACTGCTCACAAGAATTACTAAAAACAAACAAAAATCAGGGGTTATACTGAATCCCACTAGTACTATCTATACTAGATACAGCCAAGGCATTTACATGACATGTGAAGAGCAGGGCACTAGAAAATACTAAATACTATTAGTATGTAGACTCTTATGAGCTGTTAGATTTTTCACATCAACCAGGTTTCCTGTATGCACTACACAACTAAGGAAAGCTTTGCTACAGTGTTAGCAATTATTTAAAAAAATTTAAATTTGGCTGGGCACGGCAGCTCACGCCTGTAATCCCAGCACTTTGGGAGGCTGAGGCGGGCAGATCACTTAGGACAAAGAGTTCAAGACCAGCCTGGCCAATATGGTGAAACCCCATCTCTACTGAAAAATGAATGAACAAACAAAAAATTCATGCTTAAATCATTCTATTTTTCAAGATACTTTTTGAAGCTGGGTGATGGCTCACACCTGTAATCCCAGCACTTCGAGATAAAGGCAGGAGAATGGCTTGAGCCCAGGGGTTTGAGACCAGCCTGGGCAACACAGGGAGACCTCGACTCTATAAAAATAAAAAAAAATTAGCTGGCCTGGGCACAGTGACTCACGTCTGTAATCCCAGCACTTTGGGAGGCCGAGG